TTTTCTGCCGTACACTGCCACTCTCTTGCTGCAATTCTCTACCCTTTCCCTTCTTATGGAATACTTTTGCTTTTGTCTTGTTACTTTTTGGGTTGTGTCTGTGGTGTTTTGGTTTTGTTTTAAACTACTTACCTTGATCTCCAATTGATTTTAGCTTACTTTCTCTTTTAACTGCATTTTCACACCACGTTCCAACATAGGGGAAATCTGAAAGGAAATGTGTATAATAGGTAAGTATTCCAAGGGTTTGTTGCGGTTGTTTAAATCTATATGTTGACTTTTTCATCCCACCCCCAGGTTTGAGACATTTAGGCTTTTCTGCTCACAAAAATACTGGAGTTCATGCTCTGCGTGGAGCTCCAGGACTTTGTGTCATCTCAGAAGCATCTCTACCCATTCACCTGTTGTCCTTTCATTTTGGATGAGTGTTGGACCTCCGCACTGCCATGTCCTAAAAGATGATTTATCTCGGAATGAAAAGAAAAACAAAGGGCTATGCTCATGCACAAAGATAATTTGCATCTTTCGTCTCTGGTGGAGGGGGAACAGAGGACTTCTTCAGCTCACCATCACCCAAGCACAGGGGGATTCTGTTCTCGCCGATGTTTGCAGGTGTAGGAACATGGTGCCAGGACAGAGCTGCAGCCGGAGGGAGGTTGAGCCATCTACAAGCAAGGGCAAATAATTTGCTAAAAACTAACGCTGTTCAAACACTCCTCACCTCTGCATTTTACCTCATAGTTAGGCATAAGGGAAGAGGGTCAGGAATGTGGCAGAGAGAGGAGAAGGCTGAACTCACATGAAAAGGGAATAGCTTTGGTGGTTTGAAAAGGTGTTGTCGTGTTTATCCTTTTTATTTTTTTCAAATTTAATTACATGTGGCAGCTGTGCATGGGGGAAGCCTAGCTCCAAGTGCTTTTAATGGGAAATGCGCTCTCAGCAGGTTTGCTGATGATCCCAAACTGTGTGGCGAGGTAGACATGCTGGAGAGATGGGCCCGTGCCAGCCTCATGAAGTTCAACAAGGCCAGGTGCAAGGTCCTACATCTGGGTGGAGGCAATCCCAAGCACAAATCTAGGCTGGGCGGAGAATGGATGGAAAGCAGCCCTGAGGAGAAGGACTTGGGGGTGTTGTTGGTGGGTGAGAAGCTGAACATGAGCAGGCAATGTGCAATTGCAGCCCAGAAAGCCCCCGGCATCCCAGGCTGCATCCCCAGCAGCGTGGCCAGCAGAGCGAGGGGGGGATTGTGCCCCTCTGCTGCGCTCTGCTCTGGGGAGACCCCCCTGCAGTGCTGCCTCCAGCTCGGGGGCCTCAGCACAGGAGAGACATGGACCTGGTGGAGCGGGGCCAGAGGAG